GTCTGATGTGATAACACAACACATTATCACAAACCGTGTCAGGTCTGATGTGATAACACAACACATTATCACAAACCGTGTCAGGTCTGATGTGATAACACAACACATTATCACAAACCGTGTCAGGTCTGATGTGATAAAACAACACATTATCACAAACCGTGTCAGGTCTGATGTAGGAAAGGAACTTTATCACGGTATGAACGTGATAACACAACAAAGTATCACAAACCGTGTCAGGTCTGATGTGATAACACAACAAAGTATGACAAACCGTGTCAGGTCTGATGTAGGAAAGGAACTTTATCACGGTATGAACGTGATAACACAACAAAGTATCACAAACCGTGTCAGGTCTGATGTGGTAACACAACACATTATCACAAACCGTGTCAGGTCTGATGTAGGAAAGGAACTTTATCACGGTATGAACGTGATAACACAACAAAGTATCACAAACGGTGTCAGGTCTGATGTGATAACATAACAAAGTATGGCAAACCGTGTCAGGTCTGATTTAATAACATAACAAAGTATGACAAACCGTGTCAGGTCTGATGTAGGAAAGGAACCTTATCACGGTATAAACGTGATAACATAACACATTATCACAAACCGTGTCAGGTCTGATGTGATAACACAACACATTATCACAAACCGTGTCAGGTCTGATTTGATAACATAACAAAGTATGGCAAACCGTGTCAGGTCTGATTTAATAACATAACAAAGTATGACAAACCATGTCAGGTCTGATGTAGGAAAGGAACCTTATCACGGTATCAACGTGATAACATAACACATTATCACAAATCGTGTCAGGTCTGATGTGATAACACAACACATTATCACAAACCGTGTCAGGTCTGATTTGATAACATAACAAAGTATGACAAACCGTGTCAGGTCTGATGTAGGAAAGGAACCTTATCACGGTATGAACGTGATAACGCAACAAAGTAACACAATTCGTGTCAGTTCTGATGTGGTAACACAACACATTATCACAAACCGTGTCAGGTCTGATGTAGGAAAGGAACTTTATCACGGTATGAACGTGATAACACAACAACGTAACACAAACCGTGTCAGGTCTGATGTGATAACACAACACATTATCACAAACCGTGTCAGGTCTGATGTGATAACACAACACATTATCACAAACCGTGTCAGGTCTGATGTAGGAAAGGAACTTTATCACGGTATGAACGTGATAACACAACAAAGTGTCACAAACCGTGTCAGGTCTGATGTGATAACACAACACATTATCACAAACCGTGTCAGGTCTGATGTGATAACACAACATATTATTACAAACCGTGTCAGGTCTGATGTAGGAAAGGAACTTTATCACGGTATGAACGTGATAACACAACAAAGTAACACAAACCGTGTCAGGTCTGATGTGATAACACAACATATTATTACAAACCGTGTCAGGTCTGATGTAGGAAAGGAACTTTATCACGGTATGAACGTGATAACACAACAAAGTAACACAAACCGTGTCAGTTCTAATGTGATAACACAACAAAGTATCACAAACCGTGTCAGGTCTGATGTGATAACACAACAAAGTGTCACAAACCGTGTCAGGTCTGATGTGATAACACAACACATTATCACAAACCGTGTCAGGTCTGATGTGATAACACAACACATTATCACAAACCGTGTCAGGTCTGATGTAGGAAAGGAATTTTATCACGGTATGAACGTGATAACACAACAAAGTAACACAAACCGTGTCAGGTCTGATGTGATAACACAACACATTATCACAAACCGTGTCAGGTCTGATGTGATAACACAACATATTATTACAAACCGTGTCAGGTCTGATGTGATAACACAACATATTATCACAAACCGTGTCAGGTCTGATGTGATAAAACAACACATTATCACAAACCGTGTCAGGTCTGATGTAGGAAAGGAACTTTATCACGGTATGAACGTGATAACACAACAAAGTAACACAATTCGTGTCAGGTCTGATGTGATAACACAACACATTATCACAAACCGTGTCAGGTCTGATGTAGGAAAGGAACTTTATCACGGTATGAACGTGATAACACAATAACGTAACACAAACCGTGTCAGGTCTGATGTGATAACACAACACATTATCACAAACCGTGTCAAGTCTGATGTGATAACACAACAAAGTATCACAAACCGTGTCAGGTCTGATGTGATAACACAACACATTATTACAAACCGTGTCAGGTCTGATGTAGGAAAGGAACTTTATCACGGTATGAACGTGATAACACAACAAAGTAACACAAACCGTGTCAGGTCTAATGTGATAACACAACAAAGTATCACAAACCGTGTCAGGTCTGATGTGATAACACAACACATTATCACAAACCGTGTCAGGTCTGATGTGATAACACAACAAAGTGTCACAAACCGTGTCAGGTCTGATGTGATAACACAACACATTATTACAAACCGTGTCAGGTCTGATGTGATAACACAACACATTATCACAAACCGTGACAGGTCTGATGTAGGAAAGGAACCTTATCACGGTATGAACGTGATAACACAACAAAGTAACACAAACCGTGTCAGGTCTGATGTAGGAAAGGAACCTTATCACGGTATGAACGTGATAACACAACAAAGTAACACAAACCGTGTCAGGTCTGATGTGATAACACAACACATTATCACAAACCGTGTCAAGTCTGATGTGATAACACAACAAAGTATCACAAACCGTGTCAGGTCTGATGTGATAACACAACACATTATTACAAACCGTGTCAGGTCTGATGTAGGAAAGGAACTTTATCACGGTATGAACGTGATAACACAACAAAGTATCACAAACCGTGTCAGGTCTGATGTGATAACACAACAAAGTATGACAAACCGTGTCAGGTCTGATGTAGGAAAGGAACCTTAACACGGTATGAACGTGATAACACAACAAAGTAACACAAACCGTGTTAGGTCTGATGTGATAACACAACACATTATCACAAACCGTGTCAGGTCTGATGTGATAACACAACACATTATCACAAACCGTGTCAGGTCTGATGTAGGAAAGGAAATTTATCACGGTATGAACGTGATAACACAACAAAGTAACACAAACCGTGTCAGGTCTGATGTGATAACACAACAAAGTGTCACAAACCGTGTCAGGTCTGATGTGATAACACAACACATTATCACAAACCGTGTCAGGTCTGATGTGATAACACAACAAAGTGTCACAAACCGTGTCAGGTCTGATGTGATAACACAACACATTATCACAAACCGTGTCAGGTCTGATGTGATAACACAACAAAGTGTCACAAACCGTGTCAGGTCTGATGTGATAACACAACACATTATCACAAACCGTGTCAGGTCTGATGTGATAACACAACAAAGTGTCACAAACCGTGTCAGGTCTGATGTAGGAAAGGAACCTTATCACGGTATAAACGTGATAACACAACAAAGTATGACAAACCGTGTCAGGTCTGATGTAGGAAAGGAACCTTAACACGGTATAAACGTGATAACACAACAAAGTATCACAAACCGTGTCAGGTCTGATGTAGGAAAGGAACTTTATCACAGTATAAACGTGATACCACAACACATCACAAACCGTGTCAGGTCTGATGTGATAACACAACACATTATCACAAACCGTGTCAGGTCTGATGTGATAAAACAACACATTATCACAAACCGTGTCAGTTCTGATGTGATAACACAACACATTATCACAAACCGTGTCAGGTCTGATGTGATAACACAACACATTATCACAAACCGTGTCAGGTCTGATGTGATAACACAACACATTATCACAAACCGTGTCAGGTCTGATGTGATAACACAACACATTATCACAAACCGTGACAGGTCTGATGTAGGAAAGGAACCTTATCACGGTATAAACGTGATAACACAACACATTATCACAAACCGTGTCAGGTCTGATGTAGGAAAGGAACCTTATCACGGTATAAAGTATCACAAACAGCGTTTCTGTCCCCGTCTAAAGTTGCGCATTAGCGTATCTCATATCTCATTGGTTTCACACGATCGTAAACGCAATAATATATTTATTAATTCTTTTTCACTTTACCGTAGATATTTGATTGTTTTGAAACTTCGTTAGTTGCTAAACGGAATTACCACGGTGCACCTGATAGTAATGGTAAAGCAAGCTGCTTATAGTATTTAGAATTGTGACAAACAATGGTACTGTCATGAACAATTTTTTTCTCAATGATATAACTGAAATGTGCATTCAGGATTATTACGTCGGATGTAACCCGATATCCAAGATTGAAACGTCCACCATTTTGGTTTAAACACACGAAGATTTAGAAGGCGAAAGAACGAAATCAAACTGAACTAAATGATAGTGGTATTTTTTTATGTTTGAAATTCTTGATTTCAGGCTTTGATTCTAGGGCTATTTATGAAGTAGTTCTCAACATAGGATATGAAGTAGTGTTAAAAAATACCTCTTATAGAAGCAGGTCATTTTTGCAAAGCTTGAAGCAATCTTAATATCACGCTGCGCCGGGTCCATATATGAGAGACAAAATAGTGTGCGCGAGAGGTGAGTTTCTTATGAAGCTTTCGTTAGCTCCGTTATTATAAAAATAATTATAGATCTATCAAATTATCATTGTTATCTTACGATGTAAGATCGTTTTAAACAAAAACAAATAACAGAATAACCTTAAAACTTTAAACAAACGTGAACATTTTTTGATTTTGAAAAGGTCACTAGGTTCGCCAAAATTAGATGCACAAAAAAATCCCAATATAAGGTGTTGTATTGATTGTATGATATAACAAGCATGATTCCATGCAGTGGTTAGATGCTGCTATATATTCATGTGTCAGTTTCTATCACACAGTCGGTTATGTTTAGTAATAAAATCAGTGCTGCAATCACAGAAATGATTCAAACAAATTCTTTTAATTTGAAATGTTAATGTTTTAATGTTGTCACATTTCACACAAAGCATTAGTCAAATATTGAAAACAATAAGTAATTAGTAAGACAACTGAGTATTCAAATAACATAAACAATTAACCACAAAATAGATATACATTAAGATATTCACAGCATCAGTCGCAGTAGTAAAGCAGTGAATGAAAAATATTTGTGTGATTAGTACATTCTTACAACATTCCAGGATATCTACTAATGGAATCAATAGGTGGTAACTAAATAGAGAAGACCATGTGGATAATTAGCCGTTTGGCTAAACATGTTTCATCCTCAATAAAGAATGTTTTATCATTATAATAAACGAGCACTTTACATTCATGTGTCACGGGTGGGTACAATTACAGACAAGGGCACATCACGGGGCCATTCCGTGTTGTTACGCGTGATAGTAGTATAAGTAGTTTTCATACTTTTCCTGTTTAAGTCTTTTCCAGTCTTTCTATGTTCGAACAAGGTTTTGTAGTTGAGGGCTAAAAACAACAGTGGGTTTGCGACACTGTTTAACGGCGCAAAGGGAAATATAATAAACGTAACACAGGTAAAAGGCACGACGTCATACACGGTCAGCATAAAGTTGATGGTGTGGGGACTCCAGCAGACCAAAAACACTGAAATACAGAAGAATCAGACGTCAGATAATTCCTCTCAAAAAGACCAATCTATATTAAGTACACTTCATAATGACCCGTTTTGTTGCTTTATAAATACATTTTTTTGATCAAAATAAATATTTATAGTGATTTACAATATATTATAAATTCTACTTTTAGATAAAAGTTAGGGCTTTTCAAACTTAACTACACTGCATTGCAACAAGGTGGATTGTCTTTGCCTTCATTAAACATAAGGAATAAAAAGAGATGTTTCATTACCTGAAACGTACCTGTTTATACAGATATAAAAGAGACGGTATTTTACTATCTGAAACCACCTTATTTATGTGGAGATAAAACAGATGATGTTTCAATATCTTAATCCGCCGTGTTTATGTGGAGATAAATGGGGTGGTGTTTCGGTACCTACAACTACGTTGTATTTGTGGAGATAACATGTATGGTGTTTCATAACCTGAATACTACCTGTTTAAGTACAGATAAAAGGGATGCTTTATCATCTCCTGGATCCACCCTATTTATGTGGAGATAAATGGGATGGTGTTTCATTTCCTGAAACTACCCTGTGTATGTGGAGAAAAAGGGACGGTGTTTCTAACCTGAATCCATCCTGTATTTGTTGAGATAAAACATATTGTTTTCGTGACCGGAAATCTAACTGCTTATGTAGAAATAAAAGGGATGGTGGTCCATTATCTGAAACATACCTGTTTTCGTGCAGATAAAATGAATGTATTCTTTTCATCATCTGAAACCACCATATTAACCTGAAACCATCCTGTGTATATGGAGAAAAACATTAATGGTGTTTCATTGCCTGAAAATACCTATTTGCAAGGAGATTAAACGAAGGGTGTATCATTACTTGGAACCAATCTGTTTGTGTGGAGATAAAAGCTCTAGTGCTTCATCGCTTGAAACTTATAAGAGATAAAAGGGATGAGGTTTCCTGAAATCAAACCATCCTGCTCATGTAGAAATAAAAGGGATGGTGTTTCGTAACCTGAAACGACCTTCTATTGGTGGAGAAAAAATTTTTTTTCCAATAACTGAAATCTGTTTATGTAGAGATAAAAGGGATAGTGTGTCATTACCTGAAACCTTCCTGTTCATAGCCAGATGCAAAGGATAATTACCTGCAACCACCATGTTAAAGTGGATATTAAAGGGATGGTGTTTCATTACTTGAAACCTCCCGGTTGATGTGGCGATAAGGGGACTAATGTTTCGTTACCTGAAAACATTATGTTTTTGGTGAGGTGTGGTGGTAACATCTTACTTACCCGAGACTACTGCAAACATCACTTTTGTGCTTCGAATTTTAGCCCTTGTTACAACATCGATGCGTCTACTTGGGACTTTTTCTTTTTCTGTAAGTAATTACAAAGTCGAAACGATAACAATTAAAACATATTTCTTTATCATATAGTTCATCAGCACAGATTCCTCCCTAATTACGGTATGTATTGAGGGTAAATGTTCAGTCTATACCATTTATATGCAGCGATCCAGAATACCCTTAACATTTTTCCGGACTCCAATCATCAGTATAACTGAATTCATTTCTGAATAGTGTATGTTTCTGTTGGAGTCTCCTTTTCATGTAATTGTTATAGTCTGGTTATATATATATGAAATTGATCTGCCCTCAAAAATATCTTATAAACTAAGGCATTTTATTCACCATATACCCGTCAATGGCGTTTGAACTGCCCTACATTTTTGCTATTACATAGTTCAGCGTTGGCCTCTGTAAGGAAAATCTTTTTTATTTTACGCCCTGATCGAGATTATATTACAATCTATAGATCTGGTAGTCACTACCCGTGGTAATGTGGAAGTAAATGAATTACTCGTTATCAGAATAATGTGATCGGGTAGAGTGTCCTGCTGGATGCAGAATGCTTCACTGTGGCAGCACTATAAAGTCAGTTCAAACATGTCGCTCTACCAAACACATGCACTAAACCAACTAAGCATACATGTAAAGGCTGCATTTAAATTACCATAGCTGTTGATAGCGACTTAAGCAATATAAAACCCAATTTATTCAAAGGAGCGGCATTCTGATCAGAGTGATGCGATGACAGAATAAAAAATTGACAAACAAATTAATATCGAAAAAATATGCAACAGTTTCATTTTCACAATAGCTTATCATACAAAAACTAGTGAAGATAATAAGGCAACTTTATACATCAGGGCAGTTGTTATGCCAGAGGTATTTTATCTAAATATATTCTGTATATAATCATCAGACAAATATGTCTATCATGATAACAATTTTAGTACAAGGTGCTTCCGGTGACAATTTATGATTGAATTGAATTTTTATCACACTTAACTACAATCACTACTTTGAGAACTGAATGAAATAATCAACCTTCTGTTTTTGACAAAAGGCAATGTTAACATGACACTTTTGAATTCCTGCACGAGAAGTTAATATCGCAAATTGCATCACATGACCGATGCTATCATCGCAAATTAATAATATTGACTACAAATACTTTTTTTTGATTTATGATATCGACAACTTAAATGCAGTGTCATACAAAAAGATTAAGGATACAAACACAGATATAATGAAAACTATCCTTGTCCGACGAAACTGACAGAGAAATATGTACCATGCATTTATGTAACAACCACCATACCCTTGCAACATATCCAAAAAACTGTTAAGAATACGAACCAATTAAACATGTGATGCTTAAGGAAAATGAAGTCCTACAATGGTGCTAGAGTTCAGCTAAAGTAAAGTTAGTCATTCTGACCTCACTGATGTCCAGTAAAAGCTGTTTATAACGTTTTCCTTGGGACTTAATGCGTAATATCCAGAACGGGTCTTATGTAAGTCTTATCATGATATCTGGTCGTTTACAGCAGGCAATGTTAAATGTAAACAATAAAACTGAGTTTTTATCAACTGAACACAGCTGTTTATAAAATATGCATTGATACAAATTAGTAAGAAAGTATTGTTAGCTGTGTGTCTTGCTTTATGGCCAGATCTTATTCCATTACATTTGATATACAATGAAATTATATCGTCAACATGATGTACAATGTAATGCTGTAGAAATCGCCTTAATAATTAGGACCTTGTCTCATGACACCTTAATTTATGATGAATTGCAGAGTGCCAAAACGAGCAATCCAACATATAGATTAAAAGAAACCAACAAAAGACAAAAAAACAAACAAAACTCCCATAAATGGTGCAGTTGATGTTTCTGACAGGACTAATTTGGACTATGCTATTCTAGCTTTTGCGTTATTCATGCATTTAAACGAACAACAAAATGAAAAACAACGGAATGTTGATATCATAAACCTATATTTTTATCTTTTCAGGTACGAAATGGTTAAAGGTTCGCAACAGATAGACAAAAAGATGGCCACAGTCATTTCAGACAGAGAGGATATATTTAAGCACAGGTGGGAAACATTACCTGCAATTAAATGTTTCAAAAACATGGCGATTACTGAAATAAAAACAAAAGATCAATCTAAACAATTTTTAGTAAAACACAAAATATAAAAACATCGTAAGCAAAGCGAATTTGCTTCTTTAGTGGTTTCCGTTCCTTCACCTATTGACGCATTAAGGTGATTCAATAGTCTTTGCCAATAAAATTAACGGGAAGAAAGGTCAATGTGCTTGCGATATATTAAAGTGATTTTCAATATGAGATGACCCTTAACATGATCCTTTTCGTGTAGGTTTTGTCTTTCAGTGAGATAAATATCTCAACTGAAAAGCAAATCCAACCGAACCATGGGAGAAACTTTTGACTTCAAGCAAAAAGTACGACCTTAAGGTCATTCTTTATTGATTTTGCAAGTGTCAGGGTGAGACTATAAATATTAATATACTATAAACTATACGATGTTTGATATTATTACAGCGAAAAATTTCTAAACTTAGGATGTTTTTACAGTATACGGTACATCTAAGAAGGATTAGTACATATGCACGCACACTTATCAAGCAATACTTGTCCCTCATATTAACATTTAAACAAACACAAGTTAGAACAACATCATAAGCATCAATGTAATTAATGAAAAATCTAATCTACTGGAACACTGAATTTGTTAGATATCTAACGTACAAAGCAAAACCCAAGAAGCTCATACACCTATTGAACACAGCATATTCGCATGTTCATGTTAAATTTGCTGCACAACATCGAGAAACTCATACAATATAGCTATTTCTTTTTTTTTTTTTTTTAATTTTTTTTTTTTTTTTTTTTCTTTTTTTTTTTTTTTTTTTTTTTTTTTTTTTTTTTTTTTTTTTTTTTTTTTTTTTTTTTTTTTTTTAGCTATTTCTAAATATGCCGGTCATAGATTAGTTTTCATTTCTTAAGATATGTCATAAACGAGTCTTTGTATTTTTGAGCGTTGAAAAGTATGGTTTGGAGAGTTTCATATGAAATGGAATCAAAATCAAGGTGATTTCATATGACTCGACGAATCAAATAGGACAGCTGTTTGTTGCGCTATTTTAGGTTTCACGTCATTGTTCATATCACTACTATCGATTTCTGACTGAATCAACCATTGAAAATTTGTCTGGTATATGTCACTAGTGATATGCATGCAAAATGTTGTATTGGCAAATTCACTGGATAGCGCATGGATTAAATGTTTAAACACAATACGTAATTTTCATATTAAACTTGCAATATAGGAACGAGAACCATATACTGTGATACGAGCGATAAAACACAACCCTATTTGCATGTTAATTAGGTGCTGTAACACAACATGTATGTTCATGGTCACATAGCTTTACTATCAGACGATTATAAAACACAACATGTATATTTATGTTAAACATGCTTTATCTGTAGGAGACAACATTAATTCTTGTCGACTTTTATCTTATCTTTTTCAATTTTTAAGATTCATAAACATGTTATGTATGTAATTGAGTTTTCTTATATTTCCTAATGATTTCAGGTACCATGCATCTAAATTCTATCTAATATCGGTCATGCCGGTTTTACAGATAAAAATGTATCTGTTTATTTAACAGCATTTTCGTCTAAACTCGTTTACACATATTGATATTTATAGCTAATTTTATTTAAAAACTGTGTAAGGTTTTTCAAGAAACGACTATTGTGTCCTAACAAATACAAAACACAAAATAGTTATGATAATTCAACGAGCACACACTATGTGGAAGGTAAGTCGAATGAAAATATTTGAATGCAGTCTATGGGAGTTAATTTATCGTAAAAATTACCTTCCTTTTGGTGTTTGGCGTTGGTAGAATAGTTGCTTCTACGAGATACAATAGCTACAATCCAACTGTAGCAAATTGTGATTATCAAAGCAGGGAAAAAAACGTTAATTACAGCCTCCAGTGTGATAAACAGCTTTACCTACAAAACGAAATAGTTAATGATAGTAATAAAAAATTCAAACCAATATTCACGAAACGATTTCATATTGAATTATCATGTGTAGATATAAAAAAAAAACAATCACGTCATTATGAAATTGTAATATTGTAAGGACTACAAGGTAAAATGAATCATTGACTTATCAGTGACAAACTTAATAATAACACCACAACGTGTGCAAAATACCCCATTAAATAGTCAGGAAAATATATCGTTAATGGTATCCTAATCGGGCATAACAAATACAAGTACCCAGTTAGGAAAACAAAAACAAATTTATTAAAAGATGGTTTTCGTGGGAGACACCACCAAAAAAGGAAAATAATCTAAATACAAATTATAATATAATAATAATATTAATTTGTCAACTAGAAAGTTTTAGATTGATAAATTGTCACGTGACAACCTTTATCTATCCGTTGTCTGTCACGTGACAACTTTTATCTATCCGTTGTCTGTCACGGTATATCGATTTAATGCATCATACATTTTCATGTTTTTTTATATATAAGTATGAAATTCATTTGGAAAGGAACTAATATTAAACGATAAATGTTCAATGAAATATTAAAGTTGATGCGTTTATGGTTTTTCTTGATAACAAGTTGCGTTTTTGATTTTCAGATAATACACAAAACATACACAAAGAAACAAAGTAACGTAGATAAACTCCTGTTTTTGCTGTAACGAAGAGACTCCGGTTTTGTACAAATGAAAACATCACTGATTTCTTTAAAGATATACAGATAAAATCCATTTTTAAACAATACAAGGTTCGTTTATTTACTTACTAAGTGAGGAGGATAATCAGTTTCACAAAGACGTCTACCATCATAAACAGTGTATCCTGAATAAATTACATCTTTTACTGCAACACAAGCCGCGACAAACCAGGCAGATAAAACAAGCAACCGGCGGTATTTTAGACCCCGTCGTGTGGCAGAAAGTGGCTTTGCGATAGCGTAAAGGCGGTCAACGCTCATTACAACCAACATATAAGTGGAAGAGTACATCGCCAGTTGGTTTAAATACATGTATATCTTACAAGGGACATGTCCAGCATACCATTGTCCAGCCACGCGCGTGATGAAGAATGGTAATATGTAAAATATAGCCATTGAGAAATCTGGAAGAAGAAAAAAGGAAATAATTCAGGATCATGCACTATATTATTATGCCCTTGCAACAAAAACCGTTACAAAAATGGACAGCATCAAGTAAAATTTTCATTCCCGCCAGCTTCATTCAATAAATGTATCCAGAACCTAAGGACCCTCATCACAGTTACTTTGTTAACACTAAGGTAGTGGTTTTGTCATTCAATAAGAATCAACAAGAAAATACCGAATCTTCGCTAATTCGAAGTTGATAAAATGTGGTCAAAATGTCGACTAAAAGAAAAGTTTGTTTCATGGGAAAGCAATCGCGAATGTTAATTTGTTCCGTTCAAGTAAATACGTGTTCATAGATTGTACACACCGCCTTCTAATACAAATTAAGAACTATATACAGTAATGTCAAATAGTGATGTTTTTGGCACCATACAGCTGATTCGCCCTTTTAGGTCTCGTCAGGGATGCTATATCATACAGCTGATTCGCCCTTTTAGGTCTCGTCAGGGATGCTATATCATACAGCTGATTCGCCCTTTTATGTCTCGTCAGGGATGCTATATCATACAGCTGTTTAGCCCTTTTAGGTCTCGCCAGGGATGCTATATCATACAGTTGTTTCGCCCTTTCAGGTCTCGTCAGGGATGCGTTATCATACAGCTGTTTCGCCCTTTTATGTCTCGTCAGGAATGCTATATCATACAGCTGTTTCGTCCTTTTAGGTCTCGTCAGGGATGCTATATCATACAGCTGTTTCGCCCTTTTATGTCTCGTCAGGAATGCTATATCATACAGCTGATTCGCCCTTTTAGGTCTCGTCAGGGATGCTATATCATACAGCTGATTCGCCCTTTTAGGTCTCGTCAGGGAATGCGTTATCATACAGCTGTTTCGCCCTTTTGGTCTCGTCAGGGATGCTATATCATACAGCTGATTCGTCCTTTTATTACTCAAGACTGCAGTATAAGTCGCGTTCATTATATATATATCAGGTGATAATGTAAATACAATATGTTGTCAAAAGGAAGCTTAAAGTTATTTGTAAAATCGATGATACTCATTCGGTTTCAGCATATGTATAGGAACTTACTACGCCCATCGATTGGATTATTTTTTTCCATTTATTTTTCAGAGCCTGAATTTATAAACATATCAAAACTGGTCACAAAGGCCTTCGAGAGTCGTTCAATTCCGTTTTCAGATATTTTTATGACGCCATGACTGCAAATATCGAGATATTTATCGACCATGTCCATTATATATTTCCACCAGAATTTGAAATGAAGGGCATTTCAAAACAAAATTTTCTTTATGAGCCACTTACCCCGATCATGTCTGATATCGATACCCAAAACGGACAGCTTTTCAACAAGATGTAGTATAAACATAAAGATTTCAAATGCCCATTGTAAATTTTCTAGATAGCAAACTTCCCGCATCCAAACACTATGGTGTATACATGTTGGAAACGATTCGATATGCAAGGGCCTAATCTAAAAGGCTCTTATTGAGAAATTATATGTTTCCAATATCAAGATTTTCTTATGCAAGATGCCAACTCAGGGTGTTGAGAGATACAATTTAATGAAGATTATGTGGAAATTAATATATTTCTTCAATTTAATTGAATTTGAATTTGAATTAAGATTATGTTTACATGTTGACATATTTTGTCATTGTTTTCCTTCATTTCGAATATTTTGCGATACCTAATGACATAGGACGTTAATATGATGCACATATTGCCCCCACATAAGAAATATTTATGCACATGAATATGTATTATGAGAAAAAATTACTGTTGAGTATATCAGAATCGGAAATAATAAAATATTTATCAACGATATGTCCTTTACCTGAGATGGCCAAATGGAGGACGAAGAACGACATCTTATTTCGTTTTCCTTTCCTTAATATCAACATGATGACAGTTCCGTTAAATAGGAGTGAGAGCACCAATTCTATTCCAAGAATCGTTTGCTGAATGGGCAACGTCCACTGCCAATAGATAAACCATGATAAAAAATGATCCGAAGAAATTATAAGATCAAGATAACTGCTTTGTCGTATGAGCATGAGTTTCTTATAATCGATATGAGGACATGGCTTGTATCATATATAGAATGGTTCGAAACATTCAAAACCACGAATATTATCATTGACAATTGTTTATACTTATAGGATTTTATTAATTAAAAAAATATGAAAATTAAAAATGACTATAAATAAATTTTCTGTCTAAATAGTTACTGTGAAACCTGTTTATACAGGGATCATAGAAAAGTTACCTTTAAGACAGGTATATTTTTTTAATAGAGAGTGTTCCATGATGTTGAATATTCTTTATGAAAACGCCCTTTTATCTCAATCATATTGATAAACCTGGATATTCCGTCAGACATCAACATTGTGTAATCATCAATGTGACGGGAAATGAATGATTGTTTATAATGATGTCTTAAATTGCAAGGTATCTGCCGACGAGTGTAATATATAGATTCTGTCATATCTTGCAGATCATCTTTAAAAACCAACCGTTCGAACTAATAACACTCAAAAGGGGCTATTAATGTATAAATATTTAACAACCAAACTGAAAAAAGCAGGAATAAGGTCACGTACATTTCAACATTCTGAACAGTTGACTACATCGGATGGTGTATTGCCGGCTAGGTATAACCTATGAATTTCGTATAGTCTTGGTTAGAGTCGTCTTGCCATAGAAATTTACTTCCTTCACCTTTGGCAAAGCGTAAACTCGTTTATCAATCTGAACTTATTCACTAACAGTAAATCTCGGCCATTCCCATCAATTTTACTATTGCACAATATGGAAACATTTTCTGTTCTCAACTCACTCCATCATACGACGTCAAGAATGAATGTAATTAGCATGAAAATATTTTATTGGATTCCAAGTTAACACGGTAAATCATCCGAGGTCAAATGCCATGAAGAAGTAGGTAATGTCAATAGACACATTTGCAAGGAAAGATATTTTGAGATAGTACACTACACACACAAATGAATAGCACTTTGTAATACAACTTTAGAATTAGATGCATTAAAGCCAATCAATGAATTAAATTGCATTGTGCAGCTGTTTCGTCCCCTTCTATGACTCGTCAGTGACGCTAAAGACCTATATGTTGAAAGTAAAGAGGCGTCCAATATGATGGAAATAAAAGACAAAATGAGAAGAATGATAAAGATTTTCTTATCAATAGCCTTACACGGTCGTGCAATGAGAACAGGCACGATTTCACAAGTTTTCATCTACAGGGTATTGTTAGTGAACTATGAAGGTATCGAAAAACGTATTGAAACAGGATATAAAGACTTTGCCGAGTCCTTCATTTGTCTTGTCTTTTGAAACATTATTGGCCATGTACATACTTAAATGTATAAAGGCTTATATTGGTCTTTTCCTATAACGGAATCAACGAGACAAACTTTCACCAAGCTGTAATATCAAATTCAGTATTGTGGATTTTCATTTTCTGAATAGCAACTAACCTGCGTTCCAAACTTATGACGTTAATATTTGGCAGTTTGGTAGATTTTCAAGAGATTATTACGAAATTTCAGGATTTTCGTGCAACCTACAGAAAAGTCGCTACACATACCTTCGAGTGGAGATAATAAGGACGGAGAACCTATTATGTATGCGACTGTGTATACTACCGAATGCAATTAAGTCTCCCCCTTATTTCTGAACTACAACTGGCATATTTTCATTTGACATTTTGAGGAGTCCCTGTGTAAATCTTTCTTTTGTTCATGCTTTGTCCTAGTTTTAAGTTTAAGAATCTTTCGACATGTCGGTATTTTCTTTGTTCTTTTAAAAGTTTAAACTCAAATTTGTTTGCAATCCCACATATGTTTATTGTACAATATCACAGAACTATTCTAATGTATGCGTTATCAGTGACGTAACAGGGACCTGATGATTCCTATACAAGATGGCTCTTCAATGTACCTCATTGCTGATCCAGTGCTAGAAATACGTTTTAATAGTGTTATAGTTACATAGACTACTGTGATAAACCACGCAGAGTAAATGAATGATCAGTCCAACCAAATTATTTAGAACTCGGATGTTGGAATTTTGCCATATTTGAAATATAACAAAATGCCTCCTCGTTTTTGTATTTATGTTTAACGTTTAATCTGAAGTTACCAAGTTTGAAATATCACTTTATTTGATGAGTAAATTCTGGCTCCTTGCATATCCATGTCTACTTCTCAGGCATTCGCATCGGTAAATGTACATATCTAGTAACTAACGAAATTCATATTCTAATAAACGATACGAACGGGATGATACTTTGATTTTGACAGGTGTCCCATATTTGTATTAAATACTGTTGTTTTATTTTTTAACCACATCTGCTGTTACAGTACTGCAGTAAATATGAAATGCCTAAATGGATAGATAAAAAATTCAAATGTAGGTCAGACAATAACAAAAGTTTTAAAAAGTTTTTTTTTCACTTAAAAGCGTGAAATGCGTATGTTATTTCCGACAAAGCAAACACCTTCTCATATATTTCCATATATACATATGTTCGGCAGCCAGTATGATTTATGGTCCATCTTAGGTCACCAAACTCGGGTTGAGATTAAAAATCTTTCTTGTCAATGGAATATATGGAATACATTGAACAGAATCCCAGAATCTTCGTCATTATATAGGCTGAAAGCCAATAGGTGCATACATTTTACAATAACAATAACAGGACTCAGTAACAGTATATAGGTTATTATGAAAAAGAGGCAGGAGCCAATAACTAAACACAAAACCTTATTACAATGACAAATGTTCACGAGACGAATGATTGCCAAACTGTATACAGAAAACCAGTGTCGATATAGTGGTGTCGGGGGACAGCGTATCAAGCGTGAATGTAATGATGGTTCGGATAAGTGAGCGATATATGCCTATAAATACACATAATAATGGTTAGATTGATGGTACAAATGCAGTACAATGGCGGTAATTACTGTGTTGCTTACTCAGCTGACACATTTACATATGTAGTTAAGCTGGGAACGATGACGAATATACCTCAAGGGTTACATTGCGTGATGTGACATCAAGTGTTACACAACTCGGACTAAATATATGAAAAATATGCATTGGGCGACAGAATGGTTGTCATTTTTTTTTTGTGTTTGATATGACGCTACAAGCAACATATATGCAAATATCACCGAATATCGAAGTTGCTTGGCTAGGAGCCATCACAGATTCTACATAGATTCGTTACAGCAGTATGCTATCACACAGATACAGAAAATGTACCTAAACTCTTTGTCATCTGACTCAGTAATAGCATGTTTGAGTATCAACATACAAGGGCAAAGGTTTACACATTGTCGTCATCAATGCCAGAAACGCCGAAACACCAGTTCACAAGAGATAATCTCATAAAGCCAACAATTCAGCATCAGTTATTCCACTCTGGTTCAAGGGAATTATAAGAATATTTATAGCGATATCGTGCAAGGACAAGCAGGTCATAATGCCATCATATCAGGCCAAATTATGTCATGACGCCAAAATGCATGACCAAAACATGTATCGTTAGCATGCACAGACTAAGCTTGTCTTAGCGTTACCAAATTATGACAAAATATCACATATTACCACTGCACAAGGTCAAAACCTGTCACCACATGATAACATTTCACACATACAAATATATCATAGCATCTTCACACAAAGCATGTTGGAGCGTTATCTTGTAATAAAGCAACATGTCATGGTTCGTCACTCAAGGATGAAATATGCCATCACACAAAATCAGAAATTGTCATAGTTTTACCACATAGAAATATTATGTGAAAGCGTTACGTTACTGCCGTGATTGCTAATGTGCCGTCACTTGATTGTCGTGATATGTGTTTTAAAGTATGAGTCACTTTCGCTAAAACAATTGCCTCAGATGCAATAGCGATAGGTGATGATGTCTGTTCCTATAACGCCCAATACAACGCATCGTACTAGAAAGTCTACAGATCGCTTGTTGATTGTAGAAATTGCAAACGATATGAAATTAAGGTTTGCCTTGACATTACTGCTAGTTGTTAGTGTTGATGACATAATAATGATCCAAATTATTATCTCAGTTTTTAATTGATACAGAGATGATGGTGTAAATCTGTTATTTCGCTATCATATGTTTGACGAGTTAGTAACGTTATCAACATCACAATTAGATCTATCTAACTTGAGATAATCACATCCATATCTGATATCAAACACATATTAATGGACGTCAGTATTATATGTAAAACTTGTTGGATGTATAAAGTAAGGTAACACCTCCATAATAGCATTTGTGGCAACTTCTAGTGATAAATCAAAACATTTAATGACGCTGTAGAAATGATACACTTTTTAACCAACATAATTATCGAATCGGTCCGACCATAGTGTTGGTTTTATAAATGATGATGCAAGCATCGCCTTACTTAATATCAAAAATGATGTACAAAGTTATGTATTGATTTTCACAGCAGTCGATATTACTCTCGTGGTAAAAATAGCAGGCATCATCTGATTTTTAATCAAAGTAACAAAAATATTTCCGTTTAATTCAAACGATTACAAAATATGCATAAAAGTGAAAAGATAGGAAAAACTAGGAATACTCGTGAATGGGACACGAATTTTGATTAAACAGATTCAATCAAATAGCATCATTCACTGCGAGTTGACCATAAGAAACTGTATGCTTTAACAATGAACATAATTATAGTTTCCATTTTTAGTTCACCTGAGATAAAGTCTCATGGTGACCTATTGCAAAGCAGGAAACATTTTAACATTTTCGACTTCTCAAAAAATCCTTGACCGATTTGACGGTCCCCACCCCACATGGGCCTGATGGGCGGTGGTAAAAGCGTCAAATTGACTTAAAGTTTTAAAATCTTCTTCTCAAAACCCAGGTATGGTATGATTAAAAGGGTGGAAGCATCTAAAATTTAATAAT